CTACAACGAACACTCGGATTCAACGAGGTTTTAGGTCAGGCCCGGCGACCTCGTTGAATCCAAGTTCCACTGTATTAGTATTAATTATTTTAATTAACAAGGTTTGGCTTTGACTGTACACTCAATGGGGAAAATTATTATTAGCAATTCTTAATTGTGTTGAATTTTGAGGGCTGAGGCTCAACATAGTTTCTATATTTCTATCCTTTGCCAAAGAACTACGCACTGAAATCATGTAAAGGTCTAAGCTAAACTGGTGTCACTGCATTTATTCTTGTTTGTTTCGCTCAAAATCATACACTTTTTGCTATTACCAGTCCACCAATATCTTTTCTAGAAAATATTAGACCTCTGTTTTGTGAATAAAATGTAAGTAACGTGAAAACTGTGTTATTATCTTTTTGTCAAGTTCTTTTGACTCTCTGTGTGACTACACTTGTGGTGTACAGACGAAAACAGCCAGGCTGAAGTTCACCAAACCCTTCCTGTCCGTTCTGGAATATCTCATGTTCAGTGGAGGCCAACTGTTCTATTTGCCTATTTTTTTGTGTCAAGGCAGCACGTCATGATGATCATGGCAGCTGTAAATTGTTGTAAAAGACCTAGGCCTACATTTACTAGGACACTGTTGAGCTATTTAGACAGGCAGGTCTGGGTTGAGCAGAGTATGATATCGGTAGAAAGATGGAGACTTTAATAGTAGATATCTTCCCTTCATAGTATAGGGAGGGAGACTCGAGTCACTTCTTTTGGGTGCAAGGCGGAAAGCCTAACCATTACGTCATATTCATAGATGGTGGTATCTACACAGTTAGTTGTTACCTTTCAACAAGAGTGACTTTTGGAAGTAAAAAAAAACACACACACACATATATTATATAGATATAGAATAGATCAGATATGGCATTTCCTGAACATCAGGTAGGCTACATGCATTGCGCAATGTCTTCTTGGGCATTGCCAAGTCACTTCTCTTTTACCACGCTTTTAAAGATCTATTGGCCCAGTGAATGGTTCAGGCTGAAAAAGTACCAAAGTAGTGTAGTGTAAGTGTAACAACAGGGTCAGGCTGACAGAGTGTTGGTGTCAATTAATGTCGGTGACATGGATTACAGGTGGGTGTGTCCTTGAGCGAGACAAGCTAGACCTTGTTCAAAAACAGGGAGTTGCATTGTGACAGTGGCAATGTGTCTTCTTCTTTACGTTCCCCTGCTGGTTCTTCAACCTGCAGTGCAACTGATTTCTACGTATGTAACTGTTTTTCCTACTTCGTAGAGCCCCTCGCCTTCAGGCAGCCACATTCCAATTTCAAAAGTTGGCTACCAGGTTTTTAAAAAATACTATACTGATTAGAGTATTTTTAGTTTTGGTAGTGATTTAATTTAAAATTTAGCAGGGTGGAAGCTAAAGCCTATTTTTAGACTAACTTACAAGTATCAATTTTAGGATCACCAAGTGATCTTTGATTACAGTTACATTGGAAACCTAATATAACAGGGATGGTGGGACCAGAGAAAAAGCCCTGTAGCTAGATCCCTGTTAAATCAGAAATACAAGGGAAGTAAGAATTTGCGGACTAATCCAGCTGTATTTATTCATGGGTAGTTTCCCTTGCCACAAGTATCCACGAACAGGGGTTTTGGCCATGTGGCAGGCATGCGTATGCATGATACATTACACGTGCTTGTTGTAGAGGCTTTAGATTAGATATAAGTCTGCAGCACACCTCAGCCCTCTCTCGCTTCACCCGCTGCATGTGCTTGCAGTGGCGTGGCCTGAGTGGGCTTGCTCCATCACTGCGTTACTCTCTCTCTCGCTTACTTTTTACTCATTGTTAATGAGCCTTTGTCCCTGCTATAACCTATTGGGCTCCGATGAGGCCCTGTTATTGCCGATAACTTTTAATAAAGGCAGAGAATAAGAGTAGGAAAAAAATGGGGATTTAAATAATCCCTGTTATTACCAGATCCCTGTCATTACCAGGTCTGTTATATATGGTTTCCACTGTAAACATGTGCAACTTGCACACATGACGTTCAAGATTTTTCACCCTTATCCGAGAAAGCTAGGTGTTCGATCTTACCAATCCTGAGATCAGGGATGTGGCTGAAAGACAGCAAAAAGAAGGAACCAGGTGTAGCACTATTACTACAGTATTACTATTAGCAGTAGAAAGAGTCAGGAGTAAAGGAAAAAGGAGCTCAGAGGAGACCAGGGGCGGAGGGAGAAGAAGGTGAAAGTACTGAAAGTAGATGACAGAGCAGGACTAGAGAACGGGAAAGCATGTGACTTGTGAGAGAAGAAAAAGGTTTGTCGCTGTCAGGTTTCGATCCTGGAACCATTAGCCTTTAGAATGAGAGGCAAACACCGGTCCTCAAAACCATGAGAGTCTCCTTCGCAGTTAAGTGTGATATTTAGATATAATTTACATCATTGTGTCACATGATACTGTGACCTACTTTAAATGATTATTTGCATGCACCGTAGGTGTCATCGTTGCTTGACTTCCACAAAGGAATGTTTAAAAATAGTGCTTTTCTTTTTAATAAGTTAAACAACCAGCAGAACGACATGATGGTCTTTCACTGATATATCTTTACATTAACCAAGGTGCATGAAACATAACTCTGTTGTCCTGTTGTTTTAAATCGTTTATAATATCAGTCAGCAACAGTACAAAAGTCATAAAACAAAGTTGTAGTAATCACACAAGTGCACTATCACTATCAACCAAGTTTATATGTGTTGATCAACATATTATAGACCTTTGAAATGCAGTCCTCATGCTGAAGGGCACAAACTCAGATGGTAGCTGGATCGTAAAAGTAAAGTACCGGGTAAGTAATGTAGTCCTGTCAAATGAGAGGTACTATAAACCTTCACCTTCAAAAAAAGAAAATCAGTGAAACACGGATAGATCGAACACAGAAGATTCGAAACCACGTATCAGTCAAACTGAGCCTGAGATCCCTTTTTTTTCTTCTTCTTTATCTTTGTAAGAAGATATATCACGAACTACCGAGTCCAGTCGGACAAATTCGAGATATCCGTGTCATACTGTAGAGCAAGTACATGCACAGTATAATCTATACCTTAACTACGTTTTTTACCACTGTTCTGATAAAAAAAATGGGAGCAAAATTAAACCTCATTGCAGAAAAATGAGGCTCGCGTTTCCTTTGCAGTTGTATTCGTACAATTAGCAATAGCTACGCATTCGCACACATTCAGAGCTATACCTTAATTTTATGATCCTACCCTCCCTTGTCTGCCTTTCACTGAAGCAGACAGAAAACAATTGAAACAGCAACAAAAATATCTTAAACTATACATACATAAGAAATGGCAAAATGAAAAAAATACTGGCTTGAGTGGTAGGCTACCATAACTATAAAAATTCCAACTCACAGAAAAAGTCAAACCAAATCTCAAGCCAAGCCTACTCATGATTCAACCAAAACAAAAGTACCAGGTATAAGAGAAAAACAAAATTAATCAATGAAAGTTCATAGAAATTTTCAATCACATTGACAATCAAGCTGTGATAGACCAGGTCAGCTTTCAAGTAACAGAAAAGCAATTAATCATCAACTTTTGCACGCTTACTTCAAAATAACAAAACAGAATGAGACACGAGAATGCACTTGTATGGATTGTTGGCCAGAGAGAAGCATCTCCAGAGTACTGTTTGCCTATGTTTATCATGCAGTGGAAACCTGATATAACAGGGATGGTGGGAGTCGAAAAAAAGTCTTGTTATATCCGATCTCTGTTAAATCAGAAATGCACGGAAAGTAAGCATTTGTGGACTAATCCAGCTGTACTTATTCACAGGTAGTTTCCCTAGCCAGAAGTACCTGAAAACAGGGGTTTTGGCATCAAATTTCTCCTTGCCTCCATAAACCACATCAGAAGAGCTTGGTCCACAGCTTCAGGTAGGTAATGTCATTTTCTTTCGATCCAGAGCAAACTTTCCATTGGAGAGCACTGCCACTATCTTCTCTCTGTCCTTGATAATAGTAATAGTGTGAATCAACTCTTGTGGAATGTCGAACTGACGACAAATTTCTGCCAGTGGAGCTTGCTTTTTGTCAACAGCCTGGATTATTTCGTATTCTTTGTCAATTGAAAGGCATTTTCTCTTGCCCTTGAAATCGTTGCTGGCCATAATGAAAGAAGTAGGCTTAGATCTAGGCCGACTGGTCGTCCACAGAGTGCATTAAGCTTAGATCTCCACATGTACTGTTGTTAGTGAATAGTCACAGAGTCGCGTGGTGCATGTGTGTGTGCTGTGAACTACGAAACAAGCTCTGCACACGACCAGATTTGGCCATGCGGGAGGCCTGCGCAAGACACATTAAGCGTGTGTGTAGCTAGGTTTCGGGCTAGATCGAGGTCTGCAGCACACCGCAGCCTTCTCTCACTTCACACGCTGTGTGTGCTTGCAGTGTCATGGCTGGCGTGGGCTTGCTCCATCACTGCGTTACTCTCTCTCCCTCTCTCTCTTACTTTTTCCCTGCTATAACCGATTGGGCTCCGATGAGGCCTTGTTATTGCCGATAATTTTTAATGGAGACAAAGAGTAGGAAAAATCGGAGATTTAAAAAATCCCTGTTATTACCCGATCCCTGTTATTACCGGGCTTGTTATATATGGTTTCCACTGTATATCAATACATGTAGGCTTAAGCCTTGTGTATAGGCCAATTGACACAAGAATAGTGAATGTTGAAGTCGCTGACCTTTGACTGGTTATGACCTGTTTGTCTCTGCAAAGCTGAATCACAGTACAGTGTGCTGATCTACCCTTTCGTCTGTTCTGTGTGACTGCGTCAGCACATTAAGTAAGCTCTCTCTAACTCTAAACCAGAAAACATGGTTAAAATGAAGAAAATCCAGCAGTCCCACAGAATTTGGTTTTTAGTAGACTTGACTTTCCTGAAACTAAATAATTTTGATGTAGAAAAAATGGAAATAAAGTCAAAATAAGAACAACTGGACTGATGTTGCTTCATAACAGTTTACTAACCTGCATAGAAGTTGGTCTTTCTTATATTTTGAGACTTTCTAACAATTATATAAGTTAACCAAACTGCACACATTTCATCATTTAAAAAATAACAGAATCTGAAACTGATTTCCCATCCCACACAGAGGTATGTGCCAAAAGAGGTATAGTATTGTAAAAATTCTTCTTTGCTCTTTGAGCTAAATAGAACCATTTATTTTCATATAAAAATAAGATAACAGACAAAGCTCTAGTATAATTATTCAATTCGTCATCTGCCATGAGCGGTTTTTCTTTTACTGCAACTCAAAGAATAGGAAAGAACCGTGACATCATTCTTGGACTCGACAGGTTTCAGTAATCAAACTGTGCTTTCAGTACAGTGTTCAACAACTTCTTTTATGCCTGAAACATTCACGTTCCATAAGGCCATGAAGGAATCTCTGCTATTCCTGAAATGAAAATAAAGGACAATTGATTATAAAAGTGTTTCAGTCATACAGGCTGGAAATGAATATATATTTTTATGTAAAAGCCAGTTTCAACATTTCGACTAAAAAGTCACCGAAAAAGGGCCAAACCACTCAGAAGCACCCAATGACCATTTGAACAGTGAGTGCAAGAAGGAAAAACTGTAATTTGGATGTTAAATTCAAAGAAAACTCCATCAAAGATTTCTTCAAATATGACATGTCGGCAGAGAAAAAAATTACAAATGAAAAAAAAGGAGAAACTGACTAGATTCCGTTTTTATACTTTTATCCCCCCGGGCACAAATTTTTTTTTTTTAAATTGGGAACAAAACTTTGAAAATGAACTATATCAGACTGCATACATCAACCCCAGAACATGTGTGTTTTTCTAACATTTTGTACCACCATACTTATAAATCAATAAATATGAGGCAGCATGGCGAAATCAGGTGCTCATCAAAAAAATGAAATTGAAGAACTGGCATTTTTCTTCCAGTTTGGAAACTTTTATCGAATTTTTGTTTTTTGGCTTAACACCATTGTTGTCCAATTAACAACACATTTCTGGGTAAATTTTACTGGAGAACGTAGATTGAAGGCACAAAAAATGTAAGTGTTCAGTTTTCACAGACTATCAAGCTATAACCAAACTTTGGCGGCCATTTTCTCACTTATTCTACTTTTGAAACTAGGCAACCCCACCTTCAATCTCCAATATCTTGACTTCTATTCAAGATAGATGAGCATTTTTTCCACTAATGGCATGACAATTGAACAAGTTTTAAGACGATACCAATAATTCCACATGCCCAAAAATTGACGGGCACCTGATTTCACCCCGTCATGACACATATTATTATTTACAAAATGAAACCACAACAGATAAAAAATGGCTTACATCTTGAGATTCACAGCAGCCTCCAGTTCTTTGGACTTGAGGGCTGCAACTTGGATGATGTCTGAATCTACTTCAGCCAGTCTTGCAACATTTAAGCCGTAGCTTTTCTTCGCTGCACCTTCTGTCAGCTGATACAAGAATGTGATGGCCTCAACAGCTGAACTTTGACCTACAAAATAAAATACATGTTTGACACAGAGAGCTGATAGAAATCAGAGTACTTGTAAAGAGGCATGAATGGTTGTTAAATAAAAAGCTTACTCATTATTATCATTAACCCTGGAAGTGTGATGGCTCTAGAAAGGGCCAATCTACTTTTGCTGTTATAAAGGGAACAGACCCAGACCTTCTTTAATAGAAAATTTCGGTGTTCCTTATGTGGTAAATGATGTACTAAATTGCGGGTCAAAATTATAAACAGTGACCAATTAGTTTGCAAGTTATTTTGAATTCGCAGCGTGTCCCTCAACCCAGATATTGATCAATAAAGTTCAGGATTGGACCCATTTTATTATAACTCTCTTTGGCTATTGCAATTCTTCATTTTCTTTCTGTGGTACATATTTGACATCAGATTCGGGATAAATAAAAATAACTGATCGACAACAACATAACATCATGAAACATTTCACCACACGATCAGATTACCTTCATTCTCTTCATCATTTAGCAGAAAAGCCATGTGGAAATTCTTCACAATACCAGGGAACATATCATGGAATTCTGACAGCATGGGGAAGTGAGTCACAAATAGGAGTAGACACTTGCACTGGAAATAGAGACACGATTTGTCTCATAATCAATGTTTATATTGTACCATATTACAATAACAAAAGTAGGGCACTGCATATTGACACATAGCAGCAACGTCAAAAAGAAGAGGAAGAGAACATATAATAAAAAGGGAGTTGTTTTAGTAAGTGTTTTACGGCACTTGCAACACAATAAGGTCATGTAAGTGCTGAAGATTAGAGGTGTTACAAGAGAGTAACAAACACAAAAAAGAAGGAGGAGAGATAAGGACGATAGATATTTGATAAATGATAGGAGAGAAGAAGCAAACCACACCAGAGCACCCGCTAACCACACATAAAAGGAGCACTTATTTAGGCCACATATGGCCTCAATAAGGTGAAACCCTCCCACGTAACATTATTTAGGCCACATATGGCCTAAATAAGGTTTACCCCACCACGGAACCTTATTTAGGTTACATATATGCTCAAACTACCTTTTCACACAAATGAGTGTGTTCCGCTTTCGCAATGGTGCACCTTTCTTGTTTAGTATAGTTTTGCCTCAAGAGTATAAATTAAAAATCATAACATAATGAAAAACAATGCACAATACGAAAATTTTTGCTCAATCACAATCCAAAAGGTTTTGAATGAGGGCCAGATTTTTCCTTCATGGAGAGGCAAAAGCTAGGCTACCATCTGGGCACACTTTGGTCAAGTGAAATCCTCCGAATGGACTTCCGGGTCAAATTAAGTGTAAAAAAAGGGTGTACACAACGTGCCTAAGTCAAAATTACACGATCTTGGCCAAAGTGGCACTCCCTCGTACTGTCTCATAGGAGGAGTAGGAGTAGTAGTGGTAGTGGTAGTAGTAGTACAGTAGTAGTCTCTGCCTAAACGCACGGTGCTTGGGAGGGCTCTTCAACGTGTGTTTATACGGAGCGTGCATTTACATGAACCTTTGCAAAAGGAGGAAGGGGCACAGTCATCTCAATTCCTTGATATTCTAGTGACCTCCCTTGGAGGGTGGGGGTCACTTTGGCCGATAATGTGACGACACGTGACTGTTTTGTGAAGGATTCCTCGACTGCGATTAAGAATACAAAAGTGCTGAATGGGTGGGTGGGGGGTGACCAGAAAGACAGACTCGATGCAATGAAATTGATAATATGCACCATAAAAGGTCTGTAACAGACAGCCTAAGAGGAAACTGTTGGTGATAGTCATAGAGACAATGGCCCAGCCACGTGGCTCTCCAAGCAACCACCCCTGACCGTAAATTCATGGACGACATCCGATTTATAGATCTCTACATTTAGAGAAACATTTCACTTGCGATTCGTTGAACAAGTATGTTAAAGTTCTTCTAGCGCAGCTGATCAAGCTTACTTGACTAATCTTTAATCCTATAGAGGCCTGTCTAGTGTTTTACAGCATTCACGCGTGTTGCGCATCAGGCCTAGGTCTAACTAGTAATTAAACATTATACGCAGTCACCGAAACACCAGTCAGAAGCCTTCTCTCAAAGATGCATTTCCAGTGATTGATCAAAAACATTTCAGTCCCCCCCCCCCCCCCCCCCCACATTTCAACGACCAGACCTAGTCCTCGATCTATGTACTGTCTGTCGAAAGTTAGGTGTGAAAACGTTGTCCATCACTACTCTATTTGTTCGGCGTGAGGGGCAGTCTCACCAAACATCCGGTTTTCTAGGCTTGTCTTATGCAAGCCGTGTAGGTAGTAGAGAAAATTTCTCTTTGTCAAGCTCTACCTGTCGGCGTGTTTCGCGGATCGGAGTGTACGTTTAGAGGGAGTGGCCGTGCGTTTGTACTTCTAAATTATATAGTAAAAAACTCGTCAGATGATGAAAGCGTGTGTTTGAGCGGAGCGTGCTTTTGTATGGCGAGAGTTTAGGTGGAGACTACTGTAGTAGTAGTAATAATAGTAGTATTAGTTTTAAGCAGTTTAGTGAACGTGCACGCGGCAGGGCGAATCGGCCTCAATATGCCCCGTAGACTTTTGTGATCGGCCACGAAGCTAAACAACTCAGTTTTGTGAATCGCACTGCCATATCAATCCAACAGGCCTACATCTTTTTAAAAGGAAAAGAAAGATCTTCAAATTGGCAGTCTTCGTGAGAAAATTGATTCAGTAGAACTGGAAATTATATTAAAATTTGCTTCTGAAAATGAGGCAATTTTTACAAAACAATGAAATAAAAACTACTGGCTGTATTATACTGTAAGGTTATATAAATTATGAAACTTCAAGATGTATCAAATTATTTTCCAACATCTTTTGACGCCCGAGTTGTATAAGTTGAAGCTTTCACAATCCCAATAGGGCTTTCCGTAAAAATGCATTTATATATACAAAAGCCAAACCGTCGAATCAACCAGTCAGCAACCCAGGCGCCCCCACTCTCCCCTGCACACTGCGATAACGTGTTGCTTCGGCATCGCATTTTTCAACTATAAATACGTGCGGCTATGGCATTTGTGATGTACTAACTGACAAAACAATTCACTGTTTTTATTTTTTTTATTTTGCCATATATTTGGCTTTTAAATAAAGCAGGTGACAGCGAAATCCAGATTCCCTGTCTAGAATCAGTAGTAGTAAGCTAGAAGCAGCCAGAGAGCCTACATCTGCTAGATCTAACAAATTGCTATGCCTTTGAGCTTTGGAATTGAAATAAAACGATTAGCACAGTTCTAGTTTATTTTAGATTCAGCATCTAACTATATTTTCCAGAGTAAATAATAACAAATCTCATCATAAAAATCAATTTTACTTTTATTAGATGCAACTTTTTCGCCCAAAAATCTGTTTTGCGCAAACTTACTAAATTTTAGTAGAGAACAGAGTTTATAAGCTTCTGCTCAGTCTTTAAGTGCATAACAATTTTATGTTATTATTTTCAGGATATTTTTTACATTATCAAATTGTGCCATTTTCTTTGATAAGAATACAATTAGCAGTGGACTTTTTAGACAGTGAGTCTCTGACTCAATACTTTTAAAAAAAATTGTGCTTATCAAAGAAAATTGCGGATTGATAAAAACTGAAAACAACACAGTTGTCATGAATCGAGAAGAAAAATGTGTGAAAAAAACAAGACAATGAGGTAGACTATAATATGTCAAAAAAATTGCAAATGCAGGTAAAGTTCATAAGATGATTTTATTTTCTGTTTATCTTTCCGTGAATTATTAAATGCTCCAGTGGGCCTACTACTATGTCTCTGAAGAACATTTTGCTTGACTTTATACTTGAAAGCATAAAATATCGTTTCACACAAATGTATGCATAGTACTTTGAAAAAGAAAGATAAGGAGCTGACTTATGGTCTCTGGTTGTTGTTTTTTAGGGAATCCGTTTTACGTTGAGAAAAGCGCCAAAAAAAAAAGTTTTAAAATTTTAAGAATGTCCATAAGATTAGGAAATTACTACCTAGTTGGCTTACTCTTTCACAAATAATTATGAGCAGTTAAGAAAAACAAAGAGAAATATGTAGGACTTGTCTAACCCACCAGCTGTAAAGATAATGCCCATTTTGTCCGATTATTCTTGCGCATGATTTTAAAATCACCCCGTACCTCTATAGCTTTAAGTGCCAAAAAATATTTCTGTGACTTTGTAAAGAGGTGTTTTGTAGTTGTCTGTATTCTATGTATAATTCTCAAAAAATAATATACATTTGGACCGTACAACTACAACTCAGACACTCATGCACAAACATGTAACATTCACGCACCTACACACACATTTACACATACACACAATTACATGTACTCTCTCTCTCACTACAACTATACACACGCACCACAACAACCCCCCCCCCCCCCACACCCCCCCCCCCCCACCTCCCTGGACACACGTTACTCCTATCCTTGGTCCACTTTTCATTCACACCTCAAAATACAAAGACATTCAGTGTTGCCAGGTGGCAGTGTTACTCTAGATTCGGTCAAATAACATGTATGCTGGGATGATTTACCCCCCCCCCGAAAAAGAAAAATTAATTAAACAAGTCACTCTTTTCTTTTTAAAAAAGTTTAACAAAAAAAAATAATTACCATTTAGGTAATGCTTTTTTTTTTTTCTTTTTAAAACCTTGCCTTACCCTAACAACACATGACAATGTTAGACTACACTCCAAGGTCCACCTATCCACTTTCGAAAAAAACGCACTTGTATTAATAAATTCAGTATGGGTAACTCAAACACGAAGGCCTACCAATGGCATGGGTTTTTAACTGCAAATTCGTAGATACAGAAAAGGACCTTAAATTGATTCTAGATTCATTACATGTCCTGCTGCGATGGTAGAAGGGTGTGAAGAGGATTTTTTTTCTCTATTCCCTAAATAAGGTCAGGTGGGGGGGTTAGCTTATGTAAGCCATTTTTTGCCTAAATAAGGCAAGGGAGGGGGTTTAGCTTAAATGGTCTCTTTTAAGGACAAGCGGGCTAACCCAGATTTTGGGGGTTTCCAGAAATCTTGACCTACACCAAAAGCGGGCATTTCCCTACCTATAGGAGAAGTTTGGTTTCATTAGTGTATATATTTGTTTGGTTATAGAGAAAACTCTCCCTGTCTTTTAAAGAAACTGAACAAGGGGCAAAAACTTTACTTTCGATTTTCTCAAAACGGCATTTTTCGGGATAGCCCCTTGTGCATAAAAGTGACCATATAGGCAGTCCCTTTCCTCAAGCTTCATCAAGTCAACAGTTTACAAGTTGCAATTTTAATAATGTATAACAGAAGCTAAAAATTGCCCCACCTCCTCCTTTTTAGGGTAACGGACTGTTTGGGAGAAAGACACAAAAATATGAAAAGTGAAAGAAAGACAGAGAAATAGTAGGTGAGAAAAGGGGTAGACGGATAGACAAAACTACACCAAACACTTGTACAGTATGAAAGGGAAGGAGAAATCACCCTGTAAAAACCAGTTTAAAAGTAAAGAAACATGAGCAGTTAAAGACACCTGTGTAACAAAATGATGTAATGTAGCATGGGCAATAGCTACACCATCATGGGTGCTCGTTCCACGCCCAAGCTCGTCCAGAATGACCAGCGAACGGTCCGTGACCTGAGTCATGATGTCTGAGGCTTCTTGCAACTCCAACATAAAAGTGCTTTGGCCCTTGAAGATCTCATCCGCAGCACCCATTCTGGGAACATAAAAGACACAACAATAGATCTGTCCTTTATCCAGTCCAGTAACACTTGTCCTGGGCTCAGCTCAAACTTCCTTTTGACAGCCTCATAAAATGTGATAAAGGAAGATACATTTCATTCACTGCATTGTAACCAGCATTCTCCACAGTAACTTGTAAACATGTAATTTCTCAGCAAAGTCAACACTAGAGATGGTATAGAGCCAAGGCGGTATATGTGGTCGCTTTTAAGGACAAGAGGGCTAACCCAGATTTCGGGGGTTTCCAGAAATCTTGACCTACACCAAAAGTCGGTATTGCCCTACCTATAGGAGAAGTTTGGTTTCATTGGTGTGTATATTTGTTTGGTTATAGAGAAAAGTCTCCTTGTCTTTTAAAGAAACTGAGCACAGGGCAAAAACTTTACCTTCTATTTTCTCAAAACCCCATTTTTCAGGATAGCCCCCTTGTGCTAAAAAGCGACCACATATTTTTATATGTATTCATTAGACACAGGACTAAATCAAACCAAAGGTCAATATTGTACATTTTGATGGAAATGGAAAGCTGCAAGCAAAGTCATGTGCAAAATACAATTTCATAACTATGTAAAATTTTAATTGAGTACCCAGTAGAAAAGATTGGCAAAATTTGTCAAGACACAGACAAACAGTGCACATAATTTTGCACTGAGCCGATACCACAAAAACTGTGTTGAGCCATATTGGAGTATTCTTAACGGGATGGTTATTGTGGTGATGGAGGACCTATTAGACAAATGGATTTAAGATTAAGAACCATTATGCTGCAGTAGTCTCCACCTAAACGCACGCCATACAAAAGTACACCCTGCTCAAAAGCACGCTTTCGTCATCAGACGGGGTTTTTCTACCATATAAATTAGACGTACAAACGCAAGGTCACTCTCTCTAAACGCACGTTACGATCCGCAAAACACGCTGACAGGTTAAGCTTGACAAGGGGAAATTTTCACAACTATCTGCACAGCTTGCTTAAGACAAGCCTGGAAAACCGTGCGAGAATGCCCCTCATGCTGAACAAAGAAAGTGATGGACAGCGTTTTAAGACCCAACGTTCCACAGACACATAGGTCTAGGACTGGTCGGTGAAGGGGGGGGGATTGGGGGACTGAAATGTTTTTTGATTGGTCACTGGAAATGCATCTTTGAGAGAAGATTTCTGACTGGTGCTTGGGTGACTGCATGTAATGTTTAGTTAGACCTAGGCCTATGATGATGTGCAACACCTGTGAATGCCATAAAACACTAGATAGGCCTCTATTGGAAGATTAGCCAAGGAAACCTAATCAGCTGCGCTCGAAGAACGTATGACGTACTTGCTCAACGAATCATAAGAGAAATGTTTCTCTGAATGTAGAGATCTCTGACGATTCTGATGTCGTCCATGAATTTACGGTCACGGGTGGTCATTTTGAAAGCCACGAGGCTGGGCCGTGGTCTCTATGACTATCACCAACAGTTTCCTCTTAGGCTAATTGTTCCCTACATTTTATAGTGCATATTCATTACATTGAGTCCCCCCCCCCCCCCCCCCCCATATTCAACGCCTTTGTAATTTTAACAGCAGTCAGGGAATCCTTCACAAAACAGTCACATGTTGTCACATTATTGGCTCAAAGCACAAAATTCTACACATCTGTGGCTCAAAGTGACCCAAACCCCAAAGGGAGGTCACTAGAATATCAAGGCAATGAGATGACTGCGTCCCTTCCTCTTTTTCCAAAAGTTCATGTAAACGCACGCACCCTCCCGAGCACGGTGCGCTTAGGCGGAGACTACTGTACCACTATCTTTTATTTACACAGCCCAAATAGGCCATACTAACACATAGAACACACATTCTCAATATGCATTCTTTCAAGAAACTTAGTTAAAGTCAGATAAAAATGTGCAAGAAATTCACATTGTTAGAAGATACTCTGAACCAAGCTAAGGGAAAAAAAACCCAAAGTATTTTGACACTCCATAAAAAGAATTCAGTGCTCTAGGTACTAAACTTCAATTCCTCCTTACAGCCACAAATATCACAAGCACACCTTTAGACAATTCAACGGAAAAAAGAATTGTATCTGAATTTTTTGTTCATAGATTCTCTTGTGTCCAGCAAACAAGAACCCTGTTTTAACAGTAGCAGAAGGTAAACAGCATTCACTGTCACAAGAACAATCAGTAATTCCAATGTTCTTTTGCCAGTAGCAAGAGGTTGGAGGGCGCCACAGGTAGGCCCTACTTCTTTACTTTCCCTCTATTGCTTCTGTCTGTCTGTCTTACCTTTTCCCAGCACTAAATGACAAGCACTGTGTCAATGTTCTTTACTCAAACTAACAAAGAAACAAAACAAACAAATTTTGCCTGTAAATCAGGGTCAAACGGAGTACAACATTTTTGGGGGGTGACGCCAATGATAGTACATAACAAGATGGGCCACTTCTCTCTTTGAGCCAATTAAAAAAGTGTCCTCAAAATTTGGTGGCGCCCTCTTCACAAAAGCGCACTCTTTGCGAACAGAGTTACCCTACTTGAGTTTAAACAAATCAAAGTGAAACTAGCAAGTTTTGGGGTAAATTTCGGAAGAACGCTTTTTTAAAATGGCAACGCTTACAAAAAACCTCTTCCGGAGGAAAGGGTGATGGTTTTCTTCGTTTAATTTGACTTTAGAATGAAAGGCGAGAGGTCATTAAAATTTTAAAAAACTAAAACTCCGCACTGAACGTACCCGAACTGCTGATGAACAGCAGTCGATCTGCGCACGCAAGGAGGTGCTATTCCTATTCTTCTTCTGGAAAAACGAAAGAGAGCTTCAAAACAGACTGCAGCGCCATCTGAAGCAAAGAGCATACTTCCTGCGGACACTTTTTTGGCTGAGTGGCCCATCTTGTCATTCACTATCTTTGGTGACGCTGACAATATGCAATGGCATCTGGTCCAAGAAGTTTTACCTGGTGTAGATTGCATCAACAATCCCTATATGAGCCGACTCAGCAGGAACATAGGAGCCCACCTGTGCCAGGATTGTGATCAGGGCCACCTGTCTGATGTAAGAGCTTTTGCCACCCATGTTGGGGCCAGAAATTACCATGACTCTCGTGTCACTAGCCTGAAACGATACATAAGTTTAATACCAATGTTACAATTTTTAGATGATGTACCAGTACATCAAGGTAATTATCAACACGTAAGATGCATGTGGATTACACACTTATACCTCTAAGCTGTAAACAAAAAAAGTATCTCATTTTTAAAACTAGTGTTCATGGGCATAATTCATTTTCACAGACTGACATACATCCTACCTTTTAACTCACTTCAGACGGTTCACACAACAGTTGCGTGACCCCCACCGCGACGGCTCCCACAAGCCCTGCGTGACCAACTTTGGAATTTTTTTTCCGCTCTACAAATCACGCACGGATTGCAGGACCCGCCTCGTACCCTTGTTTGGCCAAGCCTGAGCTACTTAGACTTCGCTTCGTATCTCTGGGACCCGTAGTTTTTAAGTTATTGAAGGTGAAGGACAGTGACCCCAACTGGGGTTGAACTGACTGGAACTCGCGCTTTGTTTTTTTCTATACAGCTGATAGTAATCTGACAGTCGCGTCGTAGTAACGGTCAAAGAAGTCGCATGAACAAGAATCACATAATTTCGCCGTTTTCGATACTTCTGTACGTTATACTAGTTCTAGTGTCTCAGAATATGATGTGTCTGATAGTTAGGATCCTGGATATGTACCCGAACACAGCCCGAGTCATAGTTCTAGGGCTAGATCTAGCACTAGTACTGGTGTTGTTCACGCAACGAAATCACAACGTCGTGCCGTACATCTGTCTCATGTAATTCAGTGCAAGGGTCTGAATCAACGCACAGACCAGCTTTTATACTTTCACCAAACACTCACACATGCATACAAATCAAAATACAACACTTTGAACTTTTATTTTTGTTGTTGTTGTGGATTTCATTATACCTGTCATGTCTCTGGAAATTTTTCGGAAAATCAAATTCATGCCAATTTTTAAAAAATCATATAAATTAAAGTATTAGACTTAGACAACTTTAGTTTTTTGTGTTAGATTAAGCTTGAATGTTACTTTACTGTGTCAAAAAATAATTACAATAGGGTAATTCTGAGAGTTGTGGTGATTTATTGAAATACTCCGAAAAACGCCAGTCTTCAACCCTTGTGACTGGTGAAAGGGCCCAGTAGTGAGTTAAAAAAGGATGATAGAAATATTAGACGTTATGTTATAGACTTAATAATTTCTACCAAATTTTTCCTTAAAAAATGCCTGTACTTCTTTTTTGCGACATGATCCCTGAGATGGTGCAACTCCCTTCATTAACTAAAACTGAACTGAGGTAGATGAAAGGCTATAAACCTTAAGCTCTGTGTCATTCGGTACAAACTGTTCTTGCTCTCCCTTGAGGGCATCAATGATAGGATGCCGGCCCTGGGTCACGTCAATATGGACGTTATCTGCATCGATGACAGGCCTGAAAAACAAGAGCATCGTGTAGAGCTTGATGAAAGATACAAAGAAAAAAGAGAGCACAAGGTGGAGAGGTGGATGAGGCTAGAATTGGGATTGAGAAAAACTCATTGCCAATATAATTATTTCGGGGAGCTACCAAATAACATATGGCTCTACTGTAAGATATTGCTGAAGGCATTAGAAGCAATTATTCATAATAAATTATGTAAAAATAAACCATTACAGTTGAGCACAGATAACATACACACATACAAAATTCGAAGTCAAGTTTTGCCTTATAATATAATGCCATTCCATGACTTTTTTTTGTATTGGCAAGACTGATTTCTCAAACACCCATATATGAATTTGCCAAACAGCTCATAAAAAAAACCTATCAAATTATTCCTCATACTACCATTGATATTCTTCAAAATCTCTTAAATTTTTTAAAACAAATCTGTTAACCAGAAATCTGGATGCGTCGAAAACTGTCAATTCACGACATGTTTGAGTTACCAACGCACAAGTGTTTTATTAACTCGAAAGTCAGGAGCTCATAAAGTAACATAAAGACATAACTGGCAGTGGAAATACATAATCAGAGCTTCACCATTTATGTCAAAAATGCCAATAATGCAGGTCATGGTGAAAAAAAATCTTTAATTTTTTAAAAATATATGTGTTTTTACAACATACAACATACCACATACCAGCAGAAAAACTGAGATACTTGATAAAAATTCTCCCCACTTGGGAATTGAACTCGGGTCTCCTGCATGCTACCATGAAGTGCTCAACTAATAAAATATATAGTTCAGTAGTAAAAATTCACGGGAGGTAATTCTTATTAAAATCTTAGAATAATGTATTATTCTTTGAGGCCTCTGCTTTAGTTCCCATTAAATTAACTTTTTCTTATTCTCCTGTTTAACGATCACACCATTAATTCAATGTGGTTTAAAACAGAAAACAAGTCCTGTACACTAAAGTTCTTTTTCTTATGCACCAGTTCTAAGAAGATGAGAAGTCACCGGATCGATAACAACAATGACGACAAGATGAGAAGAACTATTTGCTCTTGATGTCACACAAAGGTTTGGAGTTAAATCATACTTTTTCTTACATCTTATAGGTCTATGAACAGTGTACGACAAAATTACAGTAGTCTTCGTCTAAACGCACACTATACAAAAGCACACTTCGCCCAAACGCACACTTTCATTATATGACGGTTTGTTTACTATATAATTTAGACGTATAAACGCACGGTCGCTCCCTCTAAACGCACGCTCCGATCCACGAAACATCCCAACAAGTAAAGCTTGACAAGGGGAAATTTTCGCTGCAGCCCACACAGCCTGCATAAGACAAGCCTAGAAAATCGAATATTTGATGAGACTGCCCCTCACACCGAACAAAGAGAGTGATGGACTTCGTTTTCGCACCCAACTTTCCACAGACACATAGGTCTAGGACTTGTCAGTGAAATGTTGGGGGGTTGGAGGACTGAAATGTGTTTTGCTTGGTCACTGGAAATGCATCTTTGAGAGAACGTTTATGACTGCATGTAATGATTAGTTAGACCAAGGCCTATGATGCGCAACACGCGCAAATGCTGTAAAACACTAGATAGGCTTCTATAGGATTAAAGATTAGTCAAGTAAGCCTAATCAGCTGCGCTTGAAAAACTTATAACCTACATGTTCAACAAATAACGAGAGAAATGTTTCTCTGAAAGTAGAGATCTACGATTCTGACGTCATCCATGAATTTACCGTCGGGGTGGTCGCTTAGAAAGCCAATGGCTGCGCCATTGTTTCTATGACTATCACCAACATTTTCCTCGTTTCCTCTTACGCTATCTTATCTGTTCCCCACATATTGTGCATATCATTACACTGAGTCAGTCTTTCTGCCCCCCCAATTCAATGCCTTTGCATTCTTAACCGCAGTCGGGTAATCCTTCACAAAACAGTCACTTGTTGTCACAAGACATATCGGCCAAAGTGACCCCCACCCCCAAGAGACGTCACTAGAATATCAAGGCAATGAGATGACTGCGCCCCTTCCTCCCTTTGCACAGGTTCATATAAACGCACGCTCCGTATAAACACACGCTAAAGAGCCCTCCAGAGCATCGTGCATTTAGGCGGAGACTACTGTAACTGCAACTGGGGTGTTTTCACAATACGCACATATTTCTAGACTGACTTGAAACATATTTATCCAACCACCAATATGCACTGGAACACAATCAATGAATCAATCTCTTTCATTTCAAGATACTTAAAATAAAGTGTTCACCATGCGCAAAAGATAATGCTGTACATTGAGAATTCTGCTTTGAGCTTGAGAACAAAACTAATTACGTTAATCAAGTCACAACAAATGCAATTATCTCAATACAACTTTATCTCTTCAAAAATTGTGTTTGATTTTATCTATACCATGTCATCACAACATTTCTCACTTGCAGAACGAGTCCTGAGAAGCTGTTTTTGCCAAAGACATCAGGCAGTCCAAAGTAGCCAGCTTATTTACCGCTCTTTTGTACTTGGTAAAGTTCAAGGAAAATTGTCTGTATCAGGAGAACAAAAAAAACCTTCGTCAGTTGAACAATCATTTGATGCAAGGCAGTGTACAGCAATTTTACTGGTATAACATGAAAGCAGTAACAATTGAAAAGCAAACATTCAGGACTCAAAACATGGTGTGACATATCTTTTGCGAAATAAACACTAGTAGCAGAATAATTAATGTGACCACATAAGCAAAAGAGAAAAAAAAGAACAGGAAAAGACAGAAAAACAGAAAATAAGGTTGGGGAGCAAGGGGGCATAGAAAGAAAAAAAGAGTAGAAAGAAAGTTACAGATTACAGAGTAAGTATGAATGTCAAAACACTGGACAACCCTACTCCAAAAACTCTTGCCAGGCTTCTGTCACATCAACAACCAGCTGCTCTTTGAGCTCATTCAGTCTCCGGTACTGCTTGACGATGAAAGGAGTGTGAAATCGGGATACCACTTTGGTACTGGAAGAAAAAACAACATGGAGATTTTAACAATAGTGCTTCATAGTATAGGGATCCATCAAACTTCTAAGAATTCAAAGTTCATAGAAATAACTACACTGAGTGTAAAAAGTTTAAGTTTTTCACAAGGAAAAAATAATCTAAGAAATCTTGATTTGAGAAAAAAGACAGGAAC